GATGGATGGATGGGTGGATGGATGGATGGGTGGATGGATGGATAATTGGATGGATGGACAGACAGATCGATTGATTGTGATGAATGGATGGATAGATAGATAAACGATCCTGTTATCTTAAAAGTCGCTCCCCTTTTGGTCAGTCTCCATCAAGATTTTGTAATTTTTGTTAGCTTTTCTTTTAGAGAAGGCAAACTGAATACGATATCAATACTATTCATGCTCAGTCATTTATTTTAAGTTCTTCTGCCACTGACCAAAAGAAACGCATGCCCTCAGAACGAGTTATTCTTCACTTACTGCGCATGCTCAATAACTTGTTCATACACATCGTTCCTCAGTTCATCTCCCTCTATTTTTCCCGCCATTTCCATGTAGATTTTCGCGCCAACCAGCGCCCGCGCGAGGTTGTTATCACCTCGTTCCCACATGAACAGCGCCATCTTCTGCATGTTGCACAACACGGCCCACAAGAAGAGCTCGTTGTAAGGGTTCGTGAAATGCTCTATCGTAGTCCTAAAATGTGGTGACTTTAACAGACCAAAGCCGCTCTCTTTCAAACCCTGTAACGAGAAAGAGAAAATTATTGTCACTATTCGCTAATAGACCATTGCATAACAGCACTTTGGAATGCAGCTCAATCTGGGGGACAAAACAATAGTTTTTCAATTCTCAGGAGATTGAAATTCTTTCGTTTTGTCCCCCAGATCGAGCTGCTTTGACGTCACATGCAACGGGTCTATAGATACTAAGATCTAAGATTTTTGATTGGTGCTCAGTACTTAATCGTAATTGGGAAGTTGTTTCAAGCATTGTGATTGGTTGTATACACATGATCATTTCACAGTAATCGTACAGTGCTTTACCCTGAAACAACTTCTGAGCTGATCTATGTCAGGACATGGCTAACTCACAGATCAAACCCTGAAACAACCTCTGGGCTGATCTAAGTCAAGGCATGGCTAACTCACAGATCTGACCCTGAAACAACCTCTGGGCTGATCTAAGTCAGGACATGGCTAGCTCACAGATCGAATCTTGAAACAACCTTTTGGCTGATCAACCCACCGAACTAGATACCAGTCTCTTAAGAAAGTAAGGCTAATAATGAAAGAGCTTTAGCCATTACCATGGTGACCGAGATCCCGTCGCTTCCGTTCTGTCGGCTTCCCCCGAGCATTTTGTTTATGATGTCGTTGATGTCCGACAGAAAGAACCCCGTCCTCAACTTAAAAGAAAACAAAAGAAGGACAAATATTAAGAAATACTGAAGCCTATCCTAGGTTTCCAATTCTCTGGAGATTGAAATTCTTTTGTTTTGTCCTCCAAATTGAGCTGCTTTGACGTCTTACGAAAGGCGTCTATAGACCTATTTACTTTACCTTGCTTTTCCATTTCAGACCACATGTCATTCTCTTGAAAATAAGAATCTTTATTGGAGTTGTATCCATATTCATGTGTCTTCTCGTGCACAACTGTTAAACAAAGGAATGATACTCTAGGGAATGACACGTGCTCTGAAATGGGAAAACGCTAATTACGCCCAAGGTAAAGAAGTCTATTGAACTAAAACCAACAGAAAATCATTTTCTCTTGTTGCGACCCTTTTTTGGAAGGATTGCCTCGTGAGCGCCCTGACGTACTTTGTACTCGCCGATGATTTGCTGAAAAGCGAAGCTTACTTTGGACCGCTGAAACAGAAGAAAAAAGATTATACAAACGTAAGACGATAAAAATAAAATTGTAACAAGAACCATGATATTTCTCGCTAAACATGAGCAACAATCTCTATTTCCCATTAGTCTCTGCTTCCTTCGTTTTGCTTCAGCATTCCCAGTTAAAAAAGTATTTTGTCTAATTACAAAATTGATCGATAATCCTTTTGAGCATGCGCATTTAATCCCCCAAAAAAATTGCGAAAAAAAGAGCGAAGAGGGCAGAGTTTATGCAAGAAAAGTCTATACCTCTCTGTAAAGATCTAGTAATCTTTTCATCGTAAGAAAGTGTCCAATACTGACTCCGTTTTCAAGCAAAAGACTAACAAACTCCACACGATCATTTGACAAGGCGTCCATCATGGCTGATTCTAGCTCCTCCATCTGAAGACAAAAATATCATCACCTTTGTAAAATACGAATAAACCAACCCTGAGGTCCTGATCAACCTTCAATGGGTTTATGAACCCTGAAACAACCTCTGGGCTAATCTTAGTTGGGCCACACTTAAATTGGAATAGACCTTTTTACTGATACGGCAGCCATCTTAGATTATGATACCGAGGGTGCAAGCAAAATATTTATAGTGGTGAAGTTACTTTTTCATATGATTTTACGCTTTGATGTTTTTACATATCGTTGCAGCTACTATCAAATGCACTTGGTTTTTAGATGTTTCATATTGAATAACGTACAGTTATATAAAGACACCCTGACAGCTGTGCAGTCTATAACATTTTCCAATATTTGTCCCCTCTACATCCCATAATGTCGTACTTAGCAATAGAATTCAAGATTGCCGCCGTATCAGTAAGGTCTGTTTGCCGCGTTTTTGGTTTTGGGTCAAGTCAAGTCAAGTTTATTTCACACACAAAATTACAATACAAAAACATAGGAATAATTAGATAGAGTTGAACAGTTATGAAAAATACAGGATAAATATTTACAAAGTGAGATCACGTTTAGTGTGTATGGCTGTTGAAAAAGTATGAACTATCGAGTCAACAGCCATAGGGGTCGTAGGGGGGAAATCAAAGAACACGGCACGTACGAAATAAATCGAGCCATGCTATGTTGAGATTGCCCCAAGTTGTGGGGAAGAAAAGCTAAAGTATATTAGAAGGAAATTTACCTGCCATCTTTGATTGTCTACAAAAATCTCAGACATTGCAATGTCGACTCTGTTCCAGACTAACGCGAGGCTCAGCTGGTCAGCGGATGAAGCGTGTTGAGCTGTTTAAGAAACACAAATGTTATTTTATTTTGATCGCAAACATTTCGCTTCATGCGCATGCGCAGGTGGTTTACAATCATCTATTCTCGCCAAAAGAGCCAGCGTTTACCATGGTCAGCTCCAAGAAACTATTTTGATGACCAGGAGAATCGCAGGCACCAAAAATGTGAAGTTGTTCTACCTTTGAGTAAGGCCTTCAGGATTGCTCTATCGATATCAACACCTTCTTCATCAACACGAAAAATGGTTATCTGAAGAAAAAAAGATTTTGCTTAAGCGTCGAAAACTGTCTCCTTGATTTTTGACTTTTTGCTCTTAAGCTGCTAATTTGTTCGATCTTTTCTCATAAAACATCCTGGATACGGGCCCTGTTACACCCAATTGGCGTCTTGGAAATATGTCCCTTAAAACAGTGCAACAATGCACTGTAACGCCAACTCCACTCGGTATTTTCCTCGATTTCGGAATGGCTAATGGCTACTTCGTTTCAGTGAAACTTAAAATTGAGCTTTAAAGTAATGTAAAGAACTCGTACAGCAGTTGTTGATTGACTTAAAAGCTCAGTGTCGTAAGCATGCCGTTGCGTGACTGTGATGCTTTCTAGAATTGTAATTGGCTGATTTTTTTTCTCGAGCAATGTTATTGGTCTGACAGTGCCGTGACCTTGGCAGAGTAAATTCTCGAGCAATATGATTGGTCTGGCGTGTGCCTTGCCGTATCGCGACCGTGTTGGTGCCGTGAGCTCTTTACCGTCAAAAGAAAACTGCTCTATCGAGTGACATTTTCATGGAGCAATGAAATTAATCGACTTACGTATCTTTTTTTCCCGACGCACTTCAGGACATTTTTGTAAATATCCAACACCCCCTCTTCCTCATTTACTTCTGGGTAGGCTTGAACAATCTTTTCCACCAGCTGTCGATGTTCAACCACATCTTGAAATTCTGTTATTTCAGGACTTTGAAAATATAGATATTTAGATATAGGGCGTGATGTTTTCACGTGAATACAAAACAAGCGTCATTCATACCTTTGAATATTTTCAATTTCTTTAACCTTAGGAATGCTTTTACATTACCACAAACCACGTGTCATTCCCTGAGTATTTGACTTTGAAAACCTTTTCCATTTTATACGTGTCATTCTCTTGAGTATATTTTCTTTCTTTAACTTTAGACGTAATGTTTTCTTATTTTCAACCACGTGTCATACTCTTGAGTATTATTTCTTTCTTTCACTTTGTTTTTAATAGAGGTGGCTCAAATTGCCATGATGACACGTGCTCTGAAATGAGAAAGCTTTGACGGTCGATCTATCTCGGCGTGCAGTCATCCCAGCCATATTCAAGAGAATTGAATGAGACGTGGGCGCTATGTTGGTAAATATTTCAAATCTTTCGCTATGGCGTCAAGCGGAAACGGTTAGCACTCGTTCACATCGGCCGAAAGGACCTTCGAGTGTCAAACAATAGAACCAATCTATTGTGTTACTGGCTCGTTTTATGAACCAATAGGTCCTTTCGGCTGATGTAAACGAGTGCTACCTGCAGAAACTAAAGAATATAAGACAGGCAATAGCGTGCATGTCACGTGATCAAGCAAAGATCTTATTCAACACTAACCCGTCATTGTCAATCACAAATCGATGCGCAAACGCAAGGATATCTGCAGCACGACCGCTGCCCTCAGCGATGACCACAGGCACAGCTGGGCTCCTGGTGACCGACTCCAAGACTGTCAGAATAGTATTTGGTCCTCCCTCGAGAACCAGCAGCACCACAGGGATCCCATAAGACTTGTCTGGAAATAATAATTAAACGAGTGAACTAACTCTCAGACCATGAAATCATTCACAAGAGAATGAAATAAAGACGACACTGCCGCCATGTTGGTTGATATAACAAAAGAGAGCAAAAAATATTTCGTCAAGTTCAACCAACATGGCGGCTGTGGAAACCAGAAATAGGCCCCTTGTAGGTGACGTCAAAGCAGCTCAATTTAAAGAACAAAACAAAAACAAAAATTCAATCTCCTAACAATTGGAAACCTATTTCTATGTCCTCCAAATTGAGCTGCATTCTTACATGCTGCAAGGGCCGGGGTCTTTAAAGACAGGGTATTATCATCAATGAACCCAAAAGAAACTCTATAAGTTGCTGGGTTTCATTTGACGTCATTTCCTGTCTCGTGTGGAATTTTCATCAGCTGAATATATTTCCTTCTGGCTAACAGCACGTGCATATATAGTTGTCAGTGTTTGACCCCCATTTGGTGCGGATTAATGAGGTTCAACTAAAGACTTTTATCCGCTGATTGAAACAAAGAAATATAATTCAATTCTGACCTTCTGAAATTTTCTTCTTAGAAATGACATTTTCCAGCGACGCTCGGAATGCGATTTCTTTTCCATATTTCCCATTCGTTCCATCATCAACCAGGATGAAATGGGTGTGGTTGTTATCAAGGCACGCCCCTCCTGACGTCATACTTGACGTCATATGGTACGGCACAGTTCCCTATGGCAACAAACGACTGCGATTATAGGCTGATATTAATATACATCATATCCGGTTTCATGTGTAATTTTCTTCCAATTCACTGGCAAGTTACAGCAATAGAGGCTTTCCACCATCACGTGATGGCAGCTATGTCATGACGCACAACAATAGAGACTTTTTTCCCTGGAAAACTGCCTTCTTTCTCATGTAAATCAGATGAAACCAGACTCTAATGTCCTGCCTCCCGTCATGGCTGCAATCACGTGATCGTTTAGCCTCTATAAACCTCTTTTACTTGAGCGTAAAGTTTTTCCATCTCAAATCACGTGTCTTTCTCTTGAGAATAATATTCTTTGCTGAGTTGTATCCATATTCATATGACTTCTCATGTGCTACCGAAAACAAAGAAATAATACTCTAGGGAATGTCACGTGGTCTGAAATGGGAAAACATTATGCCCAATTGCAAGCTAAAGAGTTGTATTGCGAGGACAAGCTCTAAGGACTTATACTCTGTCATGGATGTTATGGATGTCATGAATGTTACTAGAAAATATGTTTGGTTTGGCGGGGTATTCATGTACTAGTGTATTCAATGAAGTATTAACCCAGATACTAACCTTTTTCCCCACGAGTGTATCCCTGTGTTCCACGATGCCCCACGTGGCAATCCCTATCAAATGCAGCGGTTCATACGTATCTATAGACGAATGAGACGTCGCGGTATGTCCTCGTACGGCCTCGCCGACGTGTTTCATTACACCAGTGTTTGTTCCACCCGTAAAGATCCATGCGCCTGTAGTGCGGGCTGCCTGTGGATTCAAGATGAGCAAAGTTGACAAGTACCAGTTCACCTATATGCTTTCCCATAATCCTTTTCGTAGCACATACCTTTAATAGTAACTGACGATGACACCACCCATGCTTTCCCATGATCCTTATCGTATCAGCTCAACCCACCTTTAATAGTCCCTGACGCATAACTTGTTTCAGTTTGGGATGCAACACGAAGCTCTTCGTACTTCCCGTCACTGATATCATCCCCCATCTAATGACACCACTCATGCTTTCCTATGATCCTTATGGTATCAGCTCCACCTACCTTTAATAGTCCCTGACGCATAACTTGTTTCAGTTTGGGATGCAACACGAAGCTCTTCGCACCTCCTGTCACTGATATCAGTAGTTTGGGCAGTTTGAGTTTCCATTCTCCAACCAAGACCATCTCCAGTACGTCTGCTGCCTTCGTGTCATGAGCAATACGGATATACTAAAAATAAAAATAAAAACAAAAATGACGTCATCAGAGTGGTTACATGTCAGATATGTTGTGGCCGGCAGGAAATTAACAATGCAATAATTTTGCAATTCGAGGGATATATTATTTCCCAAATAAAAGGTAATATTTTTTATTGTTTTGCTCTACAACATGGCTGCCGTGAAAATCCTCTCGAAATATGAAAAATAATCGGATTGTAGCTAAACGCATCACGAAACCGTGAGACAGTCAACACTAGTTATTTTTGAGTTTCAGTATATCTTTTATCAAACTCATCCAGATGTAATGACGTATGATTGATGTGTGACGTGTTTCCGGGTCCGAATAGACCCCTAGCTTGCAGCACGTCCGAATGAAGATCAATAGAGAAGGTGCATGTTACGTCATTGCCGCCATCTTGGTTGACGATAACTGACGAAGCATTCCTCATTAGCTTTCATTGTTAGATCAACCAAGATGGCGGCTGTTTCATTGTTATCCATATCTCAAGGGATTTTGAGTCACATGGCTGCACATACTCTATTGAAAGTTTGCATGATGGAGTCATTTGACTCCCACTACCATAATATTTCGCAAATTTTCTTTCTGATTTAAATTTGTATTCCCTCATGAAAATAGTGAGACAATGGGTACTGAACAAAAGAAAGCGTGCAAGGGAGTCTGGTAGTAGAGGTCAATCACGCCATCATGCAAACGTCCTATTTGAAAGACATAACCGAATAGGTTTCAAACTCGTAGGAGATTGAAATTATTTTCTTTTATCCTCCAAATTGAGCTGCTTTGACGTCACAAGCAAGGGGTCTCGTTATACCCTGTATTTTTGCAACTTAGATTTCAATTTTTAGAAAGAATGAAACCATACCTTGGCTCGGCTTGTTTGTCCCGCGCCAGTAAACTCCAGCTGACCATAAGCGTCCGTGGGCTCCCATACCGAGTTGGTGATAGGATCCCAGACGAACTCACTGCTCGTTATCATGCGCAGTGCTTCTTGCCTGTGTTCGTTTTTGCGAAGCCCACAACCACATCTATGAACAAGTTAGTCGCCAAAGTTAGTTACCAAAAAACTACGAAGCTAAGACCACTAAGGATCATGGGAAATATTTCATCTGCAAATGTCCGCAAGTAGCCTGTTTAGACGGTGCGATTTTCGCCTACAACTATCGTATACAACACGCTCGCGCCATCCTACAACTCGAGTCGTAGCGTGTAAATCAAGCCTACAACTCGCCTACGACAGACGCGAGCGTGTTGTATACGATAGCTGTAGGCGAAAATCGTACCGTCTAAACCGGCCTTTACAGAGTCAACCACTAACAAAAGATTTTTTTCAAATCTAATGCATACTTGTTGCTGTCCTGCTTTGTAGGAACAAACTGAATGCAGGTTCGTTTATAAAACTTGTTTTGGACTCGATACGTTCCTCGCTTCATCTAGGAAAAAAAACGTTCAAAACATACAGTTATACAGTTGTTTTTTTTCGGTCACGTTCATTGAGTTTCCCTATTCCCTATTCATATGTTAAATCGTATTAATTTGACTTATTTAAACAGGCTTATCTAGGCTTTCACTTAAGGCGCGATTACAAGGAGCAATTTTCTCTGCAACTTGTCTCGCAACAGCGTTGCAACGAGTTGCAAGAGTGCTTTCACGGTGCAACGGGGACGAAATCGTTGCTAAAAGTAGAAACGGATTCTACTTTTCGCAACAATTGCTACAGTGCTCCATGCAACTTGTGTCGCAACGCCGTCGCGAGACAAGTTGCAGGGGGTCTCACTTTCCACAAACTTCAACAAATCATTCCCCCCTCCCATTTATAGTTCCGACTCCCCATACCGTTTCTATGTCATACATTTACGATTTTTTTCAAATTTGTATTGCCTTGAGTCTTAACCACGAGTAGAAAAATAGATCTTTTTACTGATACGGCGGCCATCTTGGATTATGGGATGTCTAGGCGGGGCCAAACATGTAGAAAATCTATAAAGCATAGAGTGGTGTGGTTAGGGTTTCAAATAATTTGAAGTCTTGGTGTTTTACATGATTGTTCCAACAACCACGAGCAAAGTCAATCGCTTTTTAGATGTGCTTCTCATTGAAAACCGTAGTCATATCAAAATACACCCTGACAGCTGTGCAGTCTATACATTTTCCAATAGTTGCCCCATTGGCATCCCATAATGTCTTGATTAAAATAGAATTCAAGATGGCCGCCGTATCGGTTATCGGCTTTAATATTTTGTAAAATCTACGACGGCGGCGTCAACCGGAAATGCAAGGGCGGATCCAGGGGGAGGGTCGGGGGGGGGGGGGGCGCGCCCCCCCTTTCATTCTGAGGTCAAAAAGGAATGATACTCAAAAAAAGATTGCCCGATAGTTATT